GACGGAACTGTTGCAAAGTTACGAGACTGTGCTATGCGCCGTTGTTACTTTAAGTATATTTGGACCTGAATTTGCTTCTTTCCAGTGAAAAGCTGCAGAATGTCCGATTCAGAGGATGAACGACGTGAACGCGCTGCACGCATCGATAACGACAACGGTGGTGGTGCAAATGGCGAGAGCCGTGTTTGGCGAGATCAGCGCAGATATGGCAGTCAGGATGATGATGATGATGGTGATGAGGAGGAGAGGGGTCGCCGACGACGCGCTGATTCCGATTCTGGTGCTCCCTCTTAACGATATCCACTTATATCCCCCATCGCTTATCAAACTGCTATAACACTTGTTTTGCAGATGAAATGCTGCATAAGCGGAAGCGACAGGACTCGGATGCACAGAAGGACGAAATTGTTGAGAAACTCACCGAACTGATTGCTCAAATCGGAGAAAAAGTAGGCAATTTTGTGGCTTTAGGGCAACAATACACTGTTACTTGATGAGATACCGCTAAATAAAATATCACGGATTCACCAAAGTTTTTCTCGAGTAAGCTCAAAACTGGAGAACCTGTAAAGCTAAAAAACTGTAGTTTTAGGAAGATATTCCCCGTCCAAGTAAATCTCAACGAGCTCAAACCCAGACATCGGATAGGCAGTTTAATTTAGCCCGAACAAATATCCCCCTAATTGAGAACTGTTGCTGCACTGTCGCAGTGGTCTCCTTGTGCTCATCTGTGCTTTTAACAGAACTTTTGTTGAAATACATCAGCGGATTGTCTCAAAGTTGTTGAGCATCACGCACCAGTGCATGCACTTGGACTTCGCAGTTCCGCTGTCACATAAGGATTTCATTGTTAATTTCTTCGTTATTAACTTCAGTAATATTAATTTTAGTGATTTTCACAACACTTCCTACTATTAACATTCATTACACAATTTATTCTTAATATCTACTAACTCTTTTTACCGCAGTCGTCGTACTGACGAGGTCCAATTGTGGTAATGGTAAGAAATGTATACGATTTAATGGACCGAAGAATTTCTTACCATTTAAAATAATTCTATTAATTCCATAAATTTTGTATTTCTCATGTTTTACCTCCCGTTTTGTTTGTTCTCTTTTCATCCGTTGTTAATATACTCTCCTGTTTTAGTCATATGTAATTCCCATTATTATTCATCGTTATTCCTATTCTTTTTGTGCATTTTTAGAGTAGTACCTCACTGGAATCAAATTTGGAAAGCCTTTCGCAAGTACTGGAGACCGACTTGGATACGTACAAAGAGCATATTATTGAAATTTTGGTTGCTTGGTATATTTCTTTGTTATATTTTTTTCCCCAAATTGTTAGTTTTGACTGTGGTATCTTCTTGTTTTGCGTTGAGGGTAGCTGTTATTGATGTGCAAAAGAATTATTGATGCATTTTTTTTTAGTATCTGTGAAATGCCGGACAAATTGACAGTTTATTCGACATTGGTTGGATTGCTCAATGCCAAAAAATACAACTTTGGTGGCGAGGTGTTGTTTGCGTTTCTGTAATTTATCTTTTTTGGTGCTTAACCGATTGTCTAAGCCCAACTTCGGCTCCATAGTTGCTTCAGGCGAAACTTTTTTTGTTGTCTTGCCAGATATCCAGCATCTTAGTGATCCTGATATGTATTTTTTCCACTTTTTTCGTTTTTTGGGCAAAAAAAAAACGCTTTCACTGCATTTTCGGGCAAAAAATCCGCTTTCACATTGACTGTACTGCATAAGCACTTCTTCTAAACCACCTTATGGCTGGGAAGCTCGTTTTTTTCTTGTAACGTTTATCACTTGTAGGCGAAACTATAATTGAAGATCAGGCCAGTAGAATTTCTAGCGGTGATACAGGGAATCGATTGAATAAATTTTTGCTCTTTTTTTTCCCTCATTTTCGCCATATGTACATTTAAGCTGCTGTTTTTGACGTGCTTTGCTTCGTTAATATCTCACCACAAATGTGTTAGATTAAGAAATATTCCATTCCACGTTGTTTCGTTTCAGATTCTGGAGAAGTTGCTCTCGAAATTGAATGAGCTAATGAAAGATAATGATTTTGATCATGCTTTATATATTGTGAGTTTTCGAATATTTTTAGGGATTAAAATTGAATTTGTATTAATGTTGCAGTGTTTGAAATTGAACGTACATTTTTTTATCACTTTTTTTCCAAGAGCCGGATGGCGAATATGACCCAGTTCTGCTGGCTTTCTAGCTTTAATTTTAGTAAATTGCAAAGAACCACATGGATTGGGCATAAGACTTTTTTAGCAGTCAACTGTTGTTTCTTATTTTCGACCTTAGGAAAAGTGGACAAATTCTTTCTAACAGTTCGATTATTTATTTTTTCAATAAAAACTTTTGAAATTTCTCAAAAAATCACTCCTCATTTAAGACTTTTCGAAATTTACTTTTCCACGAACCTTTTTTGCGATCTTCTTCCCAGTCAAGCACTATCGTAAAATGCCTGGGTATATCCATTCGATGCTTGACAGTCAAACTGAGAGAGCGATTCAGAATTCGTCTTCCTCTTTACACAGAAATTTTTCATAATATCAAGATTTTTCATAATATCAAGATTTCATAATATCAAGATTTCATAATATCAAGATTCATAATATCAAGATATAATATCTGCATATATATGTTAATGAAGTTTTTTTCCCTCTGCAGGTGATATTTTTGTCCGATTTGGTGAACTGCCGTGTGATTACGTTGGAATCGTTTGTTGATTTTTTGAAAGATCTCATTGACTGCACCTCCAGCACCGATATGCCCCAGGTAAGACAGAATCACGCTTTGGAATTTCACCATACAAATTGTGCTGTCACGTTTTGACTGTCTTATACAAAACTTGCTAATATTTAGGTACGACGTGACTGGTTCGCTTATGCATTTTTACATTGCCTTCCTTGGGTCGGCCATGAGATTGCCGAGAAGAAGGGAGAAGATTTAAACGTTATGTTAGCGGCTATTGAAGAATACCTCCAATCACGAAACAGAGATCATGTGAAGGTTTGTGTCTCTCCCCAGAAGCATGCGCTTGTCAAAAATTGGGTTTAAAAATCATATGCATGTTCTTCAAAAATTGCCCAAGGGCATGTGTGTGTGTGTGTGTGTGTGTATGTGTATGTGTATGTGTGTGTGTGTATGTGTATGTGTATGTGTCTTTTGTTTTGAAAATTGGCCCTAATGTTCACAAAATGCTGCAGATTTTGCAAGTTTGGACGAAGTCGATCCATGAGCAGGAAGAATATTTGGACTGTTTATGGGCACAGATTTCGAAATTACGTTCTGACGGATGGAAGGAGAAATTTATTTCTCGTCACTACGTGGCATTCGACGGCACTTTGGCCGATGCCTTACAGCATGGCCTACCCAGGTGCGTGACATTCAGTTCTTAACTATTCGTTTTTGGGGGAGAAGGGGGGAGGGCGAACGGCTTAATTCCAATAGCATTTCCTTGTTTTCAATGAAAATGCGTATTGCAGAAGGCTCATTGCTGTTTTGTTAAAATTTTACTGTAGCTTCTTCACTGATAGCTGCCCTCTCATTAGTATCATCGTCATACAGATACATACACGC